GGTTGTTGTTTAGGGTTTGAGTTTGAGTTTGCCGTTTAGGTTTACAGTAGAGGTGATTTGTTAAAGAGGGCATGGCTAGGTAGTGATAAGTGTCGTTTTTGTGGTCATAATAAAAAAATAGATCACTTGGGGGGAGGGGGGGGGGGTAGCCAAGTGTGTTCTTGGAATCAATATGAAACCTTAGTTATGTACATGAATTGTGTGCTTGGATAATGAATATCCCTGACATGTTGAGAGGGATTGTAGTTGTAGGGGTTACTGCAATCATCTAGACCGTTTGGAAATTTAGTAATAATGCACGTGGAATATTTATGCTTATGATCTGAGTCGTGTGATAACTCAAGCGGCTCACTGGCTCGTGTTTTGATCAAAACACGAGCCAGTGAGCCGCTTCCGTTGTTGTGGATCATCATCTAGACGAGGACTTTGCGTGCTACATGTCAAAGGACCAAAGTTGTTGTGGCAGGTTGCGGCTGAGCTTACGAGTAGGACGAGTGGTTGGCGACCCTAGTGCTAAGGATGGCTTGTTGAGCCCCCAGGCATGCTAGGGGTGTGGCGTCTTTGTTGATTTACTGTTTTCGAACATTTTGTAGATGATGATGTAAAAGGTTGAGCAGCCTATCGTCCAGGGGGTTGTATGGTCTAAAAGCATGTTGTTAGGAGTTTGGTGCTGAGAGCCTGGTGCTTCATGTTTTGCTTTCCTTTGTTCCATTTTTATATGTTGAACTTGATCAAACCTTTGGGACGATTCCCCCTCCAGATGTATTATCAGTTTCATGATGAATGAAATTGAGATATGTGCACCTCAATTAGAAAAAAAATATTATTTGAATTCTACCCAATGAGATTTGTTCTATGACAAGTCCTTATGTTTCTTCGTATTCAATAATCATTTCAACAATAGTATTTACTAGAATGGTTGGCCGCGCTTTGCTGCGCCGTTGATGTTATTCGATTTTTATAATTTATTTACTCCATCTATTTCAAAATATAGGGTGTATTAGTTTTTTGAAAAGTCAAACCTCTTTAAATTTAACCACATTTGTGTAGAAATATATCAATATCCAAAATATAAAATCTTATTTTTAGATTCATCATGAAATGAATTTTCATATTTTATTTATCTAATATTATGGATGTCGATATCTTTGGCTCCGAACTTGGTCAAAGTTAAAGAAATTTGTCTTTTCAATAAACTAATACACCTTGTATTTTGGAACGAAGTGAGTATTTGGTTTGGTTAGTGGGGAAGATGATGGAGTGTGTTTTCTTTTTTATTCATATAACGCGGTGTTTTGGTAAGCCTTTCGCGGTGTAATTTTGTGTTATCCGCTAATCAACTCATACTTACGTGAGGAAATTTTCTACGGTGGTGGCGGCATATACTATATTGGTGCACAAGTATCACATGTTGAGCCTTCTTTTTTCTAGGTGATGAAAGGGTGGGCGGGGTTGATATGTTTTTATAGGGCGGCTACTTCCGATTGACTTGAAAAATTGTTAATTCAGTTAAAATCATGAACCAAATCCAATTGAATTTCTCGATGCAATGAGAGAGCTCCAAAATTAGAGAGCATAATAAATTAAAAGAATTGACTGAGATATTGTTGACCTAGTCAACATCGCTGATCCAATTCCAAATTGGTGACCTCAATTGAATGCGAAGCCATCATTCCTAGGAAGCTTAGTTATATGATATAGTATATGTTGTCGTGTTTGCTAATACACAGTTGCCTGATTTTTTGGGTGTTTTAGCCCATTTCGGCATAAGAGCAACATGACACGAACACAGAGACGAGGGTAGAACGGTCGATAGCGCTGTCCTCGATGAGGCTCGTCATCAGGAACATGTTGGATACGGGGATGCCGCATCATCCTGCGACATCGCCTACAAAGGGGTGACAACAACCACCACTCGCATTCAACAGAGCTCGAACTCGAAACGGGGACGCCCCGATCAACCGTGGCTATTGGGAAAGGGTGTGTCTAGATGTTAGTCGACTGAGACTTAACCAAGTCCCAGTCAAGTGATAGTGTATATGGAAAGAAAAAGGAAAACTGAAAAGAATTTTTTGTATGAATCTCAATGCAATATCAATGGAATACAACATCGACTGAAACATAATGAAGTCTAAGTCGACTGAGACTTAGAGGGTGTTTGTTTCCAGGGACTTATTAGTCTAGGGACTTAAATAAGTCTTTATAAGTCCCATCTAAACCAAACAGGAGGGACTTATAAGGACTTAAAGTGGTCATTTGGGACTTATGAAATAAGACTCTCAAGAAGGGACTTATAGGGACTTATAGTTGTCATATGGTCTTATAGAGATTTATAAGTCTCAGGAACCAAACAGATAGGGACTTTTTAGGGACTTGGGACTTATAAGTTGGGACTAAAAAAAATCCTAGGACTTATGAACCAAACAGGGCCTTAGCAAAACTGATTGGAAAAGCCATGTACAACTTGGGTACTCAATTGACCAATCAACATTGATTGTAAAATCAACATCTACACGTAGAAATCTTGCGCGAGCGCGCGCACACACGCACGCACGCGCGCACACACAAACATTGTTTATAAGTCAGCCCTTTATCTTGCTGGTGGTATACATCAATCCTTGGACATGACACCGCGTCCTGGTCGTCCACACGATGCATGGCTAGCAAGTAGCAACAATCACTTCTCTTACATGTTGAGATCGAGGACGAACCTCTTCTATATATAGAGCGAAATTGGAACAACATTCAGTATCTACGTAGTGTTGTAGCTAGCAACCAGAGTCAGCCATGGTGTGCTCCCTAGTCGTCATCCTCCTCTTCTCCATTAGTTCCTCCGTTGCCCATGGCGCCGGAGCAGGTCGCCAGCGCTACCATGTGGTGGAGACCGGGCACTTGGAGCCCAAAACCTTCTGCTCTGGCCTCAAGGGTACGTAGGGTACATGCAGCCATTGATGCAAATCGATCAGCGTCCATGTATGCGCTAAACCATGCTAGCTTGTTCGTTTTTTCTTTGCATGCAGTGGCTCCATCGGCGGAGGGCACGTGGGTGCCGCTGCACCGTCCGTTCGGCCCCTGCTCGCCGTCCGCCGGCAGGGCGCCGGTGCCGTCCCTGCTGGAGATGCTCCGCTGGGACCAGGTCCGCACCGACTACGTCCGGAGGAAGGCCAGCAGCGGGGCGGAGGACGTGCTCAACCCAGCCAAGCCGCACGTGCTGATGACCCAGGTGGACTTCGGTCCCAGTTCCACCTTCGGCATCGGCTCCGGCTCCGGTAGCTCGGCGTGGATCAACGCCGACGGCGACCCCACGGTCGTGTCCCAACAGACCATGGCCATCGACACCACCGTGGACGTGCCGTGGATCCAGTGCGTCCCCTGCCCCATCCCCCAGTGCTACCCGCAACGGATCCCCTTGTTCGACCCCAGCACGTCCAGCACCGCCGCGGCCGTCCGCTGCCGCTCCCCCGCCTGCCGCTCCCTCGGCTCCTACGGCAACGGCTGCTCCAACACGTCCGCGAACGCCGACTGCCGGTACCTGATCGAGTACAGCGACGACCGGGCGACCGCCGGGACGTACATGACCGACACGCTCACCATCAGCGGCAGCACCGCCGTCCGCAGCTTTCGGTTCGGATGCAGCCACGCCGTGCGCGGCAAGTTCAGCGACCTGACCGCCGGGACCATGTCCCTCGGCGGCGGCGCGCAGTCACTCCTCGCCCAGACGGCCCGCTCCCTGGGCAACGCCTTCTCCTACTGCGTCCCACAGGCCAGCGCCTCCGGCTTCCTCTCCATCGGCGGGCCGGTGACGACCAACTCCACCACCGTATTCGCCACCACGCCACTCGTCCGGAGCGCCATCAACCCGAGCCTATACCTGGTGCGGCTCCAGGGCATCGTCGTGGCGGGGCGCCAGCTCAGGATCCCGCCGGTGGTCTTCTCCGCCGGGGCGGTGATGGACTCGAGCGCCGTCATCACGCAGCTGCCGCCCACCGCGTACCGCGCGCTGCGCCGGGCCTTCAGGAACGCCATGAGGGCGTACCCGAGGAGCGGGGCCACCGGGACCCTGGACACCTGCTACGACTTCCTGGGGCTCACCAACGTGAGGGTGCCCGCCGTCTCCCTGGTGTTCGGCGGCGGCGCCGTGGTGGTGCTCGACCCGCCGGCTGTCATGCTCGGGGGATGCCTCGCCTTCACAGCCACCTCCTCGGACCTGGCCCTCGGCTTCATCGGCAACGTGCAGCAGCAGACGCACGAGGTGCTCTACGACGTCGCCGCCGGGGGCGTCGGCTTCCGCCGTGGCGCATGTTAGTGTTCGTCGGCGACATAATCCCTTTGCCGTTTGCTTTAGCTGTCTTGCTAGTGAATTAAAGAGCCATGCATCGTGTGCTTGGCCGTTGTATCTCGTTCTCGTAGCGTAGTAGAAGTAGGCTAGCTGCCGGGATGAGTTCCAGTAATAATCATGCGGCATTGTAGTTGTAGGGGTTGCTCAATGTATGTTCCTTCCTCCGGGAACAACAATTTACTGCATTGGATTGAGTTGGGGACGGGAACGTGCTCCACTGCCGTTGCAAGTCCTCTGTGGTTCTTGAACAGCATAAGGTACCAGTGCCCCCTCTTCAGACTAAACCACTTCTTGTATTATTTGTTTAATCTGATTATACTTAAGGAATGCACATATCTCTATCCTGTATATTGTTTTGGCCATGTGGAAAATTTGTTTAGTAGTTAACACTCAACAGTCAAGGCACTTCGGAGCAATAATTATTACACTAATTACATGATTATTCATTCTTCTCTGTAGTTGTGATTAATGAGTTATCTACTCAACAGTCAAGATACTTTGGGAGCTATAAACTTTATATATGGAAGTTAATATTCGGATGATTTTGGACTGCCCTCCCAAGACATAGGTTGACGCTGATATCGATGTATCTAAAGAAAATGATATGGAGGCTTCCTCGTTCTTTATTATTAGTGATCCTGTAATAGCTTTCTTATCCATTCATGCATGTCAAAGATGCGCACATTGTTGCTTCCTTGTGCTTTGTTTAAATTGATTTTCTAAAGGATTTTTATAGATAAATTGACATGCATGGCACAGATTAACAGTTTGGCCAGGCTAAATTTGTACTGGGCGATGTCATTTTGAAAAGAAAAATCTGAATAAACTACAGCCCATCAGACGAGAAAAGGCTGATTCTGCCAATTCGAGTTCGATGTCTGGCTAGGTGTCTTGTGCAGACCTGACATAGGCTATGCTGGACATGAGCAAGTGTTCCCAATCGCATCTTAAAGAAATTCAAGTTTGATGCAAGAAAGGTTTGCTCTTTCAAAATCAATGCATTTGTGAGTACCAAGCTGAATAAGGTTTATTATGCATGCTGAAGAGGTTTGCCTGAAGTTACTGAAACGATCTGAATTTCAAACTCTGTTTTCTTTGCTTGCTTGGTAGTACAGTCTGCACTACATAACGCATCTTCTCATTTCTTCTGTTATAGTTACATTTTTCAGAAACTTGTCAGAGGAAGAGACGATGGGCTTTAGAGAATTTGAATCCCTGGATAGTGATAAGTAGAGGGATAATTAACCTTGAGGTCCTAAGGGCAGCTTTATAAAAGGTTTGTACCAAATTTATTGAATTAGAAATAACAGGAAATGGTGCTGGTATGTTAATCTCATAGCCTTAACGTTAAATATTTTCTTCCTTTGTCCTGTAGATGCACACTTACCTTCCTGCAACTGTATGTACTTCCTCTTTAAGGAAATATAAGTGCGTTTAGAATACTAAAGTAGTGATCTAAACACTCTTATATTTCTTTACGGAGGGAGTATTAACTAGCAAATTGCTTTCATTTAATTATCATTATTCTGGAACATGTTGCTCACTTGATATTCAACATTTAAATTAGAAAAAGCTATCCAAGGAGGTTTTATTAGGAAAATTTAGTTTAGGAGATTTTTTTTATTTGAACAAGCATATGCATCTACATTTTTTTATTTTTAGTTGCTTATTTCTATAGTTGGAACAGTAGTTTGATGCGAGTTTCAGCTACCTGCTTGTTATTCAAACTGCAAGAACTCGCTAGCTTGTGCCAAAAGAAATGGAATTTGATGAAATAAAAGAAGATAAGGTGTTTTTATTGATCCTTGTGACTGCTTTTTGGAGGTGTGTGTGCGCCTAATCACTGTAAATAGTAAATGCGCTACATTTATGACATCGTAGTTATTTGCGGCTTCTTTATAAGAAAACCATTATACAAATACCAACAGTAATTACTATTGTGCGCAAAGCCTCCATCACCTTAGGTTTATAAAGAAATGCAAATGACATGTAACCTTGCTTAATTGATGGTTCTCACATGGTGAGCTATGCAATCCTCATGTTAAATTGCACCAGTTTTCTTATCTAACTTCATTTTATTTTGTATGCAGGGAGATTCAATACCAAGATTTATGATTTGGCATAGGCGAGATGGCATACAAGTGAGTATGTTGTTTTGAGCTTTTCACGTAACCGCTCTTCTAAGGTCAATGGCTTGCGGACTGTACTTCTATAGACCCTTTCTTGCATAATGAGCTATGTGCATGCTCTCTTCCGTCAACCGATCTCGATGGCGCCCCCTGGCATGGTAAATCAGGACAGCGGGTATTGGCGGCGCTGCCAGCGTTGTTGGATTGGATCGGTTGCAACGTCGAAGAGTATGGATTGGGCGTGGGTGGGGTTGAAGAGGATGGTGCAGGAGGCAGGCGTGGCGGCCGCAGATAAGGATGAGAACACACGTTAGCGATGCCTTGGATAAGACCGAGGTCATCGGTGCTGAGGAGCTGACGGCATCGCCCACTTGACGACCTTCCACGCCCCCTAATGCTCGCCATAGTGAAAGGTGGGGAGCCGACAATGGAAGCAACAACGTTTTTTCGTTTCTTATATCCAGCCGACTGAAACATACCCACATCTACCTCTTGTCATACACAACTGCCCCACTCGACCTCACCCTATGGCACTCCCACCCTCTCCCCTATCGCTCGCCTCGCTTTGCGACCGATTCGTATGGTGCCCTCGGCGTGGCGTGTAACCATGTTTCTTGTTTGAAAACTTGTCCCATATTTCTTGCCGATTAGAATTTGACATGACCAATTTAGTTTATACATTGCATGTAGAAAATTTGGATTTTTTAAAAATATTGGATAGATTATCAGTATTTGATCCATGTTAAGGTAAGAAAATTTGTCCCATGTTTGTTGCTATATTATATAGAGTAAAACTCATGAGTATCTGCAAGTATATCATATACTATTATGTTGTTGAAACCATAACTTTTGAAGTAGATCGGTGGAAGACTCCTAGCAAAGGTTCATCATTTACTCACATTCACCTTACATTTTTTGTCGTAAGAGTATGTTTCGATTTTAAATTTGACCACCTACAAAATGTTGTTGGGTGAATAAGTGCTTATGTATAAGTTCTAAAAAATACGTGGTACAATCACTGAAATTATGATGTTATGAGCTAGAAGATTTCAAAAGCGCATCAATTTAGAATTACACTTATTTATACCTCCGACAAGGAAGCATGTATTCGATCTTTGCTGGTGAGATTCAGTGTTTCCTATCGGAGATCTTAAACAGTAGCTTAAAAGCCTACTGCAAATTTATTAGAAACAAAATATTATGAGGATTATTGTATTAACCTTACACAGGATAGCCATGCCTCTAATTATTTGTATTTATTTATTCTACCTCTATAGATACTAAGATCATATAGTTCTTTAGAAGCACTACATTTGTAGTACAAATTTTAAAAAGCCCGTTGCAACGACACCCTGCTACAAGTTCTGACTGGTTATTCTTTTGCTTTATCAGCTCAATATAGCGATTGTGACACGTTTGGGTGGTCTGCAATGTGGAGTTGTACCTGTACATTTCAAGGTATATAATAGTGATGCTTGTTACACTAATACGTTACATATGCAATGGTGCCTGCGCCTTTCTCGCCCATAACTCTCTCTATACCTATTTCTCCACTGATTAGTGACCCCCTTAATCAATAGAACGTGTATGATCTATAGCTAGAGTACAACATATTTTCGCGAACGGGGGAGAGTAGAGATGCATAGTTAAAAGAAAATTTGCAAGTCTTGTGGCATTATATTCCAAATTTTTATAGTCATTATATTCCAGATTTTCTTTTCGCGTGTGTATTTGTGATGTCCAGCAAAAAGGCATAGGAGAAAGAGCAACATGGCCAAGCAAGTGTTAGAGTAAAGAACCATGAGAACAAGCTGAGTCTTTGCTTTTTTGGGGGGATGCACTTTTAATGTTGCATGGACCAAGCACACTGAGTTTTTTACTTCTTCCGTCATGCAGCTACAGGAGCACAAACTAAGTTCCCCCCTGCCCCCATCTCATATGCGCACTTGTCGCCAACTACACATGTGCCTCCCGTTGCCACCACTGACTCCCTTTACTGATAAGAGTGTTCATCATTTTGGTAAAACAAAGTGAAAGATATCTAACCTCTAATATGATGTTGTAGTATTTACTTTGTTTGAACTTTCTATTTATCCCCTTCAGGATAATTGTAAATGGCATTTAGTTATTCATGTATACTAGTATGACTCATGGCATTGATCTGATTGCTTGATGTACTTAAATCATTTTCTTTTCAGTCACCTCTTCATCCGAGCAGGGGTGATGAGGGAAAAGAAATGGTCGTGCTGAAAGTCAATTTAGTGCATCAAGGATTGGAGGGTGCGAGATTTGCAGGAGGTGATGGAGGACAGTTTGTTATAGCAGCTTATAACATATAGTAGTCGAGGAAGAGTACAAGCATAAGTTGGTTGAGAATTTGTAGAGATTTGGAAATATACTTTTGCAATCTGTAAGAGGATCAAATATGTTTTGTTCTTCTCAATGTTGAAAAGGATGATTTTGGCATTTCTATATAACATACATGTACAATACGTTCATGAAGCTACATGAATGCTCGATGCTCAGTTCAAGACTTCTCGAGTAAGTGTGTCTCAGTTTATCATTTTCATCTCTCTAAATAAAACCATCAATGTTCAACATGATATATACAGAGATCTGGTTGCAGCTTAGCAGGCTTGAGGCCGCTGGCGTTTATCAAGATGTGTTTTCATGCGGGGGTTATTGGGTTCGAGTGAGGGGCGCGAGAGGTCACCAAAACATCGGAGATGCTTGTGGGGCTTATAGGGATGGCTAGGCTTTGTGGCGTCTTGGGTGGGTGGTGTTGAGACGATTAGGAAGGTATAGGTGATCACCAGCATTAGAGATGGTGGGAGGGTT